TCAGCATGCACTCGGCGGGGCTGGGGATGGAGTTGGGTGGCGGCGGTGAGGCCTACCTGCTGGGTCACCTGCTGGCAGCGCAGGGCTCGTGGTCTCTGCAGATCTTGGGCTTCTCCAGCTGGGCACCTCTCTGATCAGCGTGTACTCGGCGGGGCTGGGGATGGAGTTGGGCAGCAACAGTGAGGCCTACCTACTGTGTCATGCGCTGGCACCTGGCACCGCAGGGTGCATGGTCCCTGCAGATCTTGGTGCCTCTCTGATCGACATGCACTCAGCGGGGCTGGGGATGAAGTCAGGCGGTGGCGAAGAGGTTTACTTGCTGGGTCATGCGCTGGTACCACAGGGCGGGTAGTCTCCGAGGATCATGGGCCACCTTTACAGATTTTTAATTGATTAAATAAATGTTAAAAATTACCTAATCATATTGTAAATCTCCTGTGTGTCAGAGATTATGTAAAGTGCATTGTATATTGATACTTTTTCTTATTAAATGCTCTTTAACAACTTTATAAATTAATGAGGAAACAAACTCGTAGTCTATGAAGAGATATACCCCCAAGACCTCTAGGTAGCAAATGGCAGAGCTGGATTGGAAGCCAGATTTGATTCGAAAAATAATGGTTTTAAATAATAGGCTCTTCTGCCTCACATGTATGGCTATGAAATGACAACAAATAGGCTTTGGGGGATTTTGTTTTTTGGTTTTTGTTTAGGGATTTGGTTAATGTAGGGATTACTTTTGTTATGGGGCAATGGGGGAGAAGGAAATGATGAAAACAGGAATCCAGGTTATCTTGTGGCATCATCATAACTATTAGTCACAGATTACGTTGGATGAAAATATACAAAACAGAAACATGAATTTACTGAGGTAGTTAAATTGTGAGTGATCTTTTCCTCTCTATTTCTACTTTCTTGTACTGTTCATACTTTCAGTGAGCATGTACTAAAAGGTGTGCATAACTGGGTGGTGGTGTTACTTTTTATTATGAAAAATCTTAAACTTACACTAAAGTTGAACAATATAGTATAATGAACTGCCATACACTGTACATATCACCCAGTTCCAAAAATTAGCAACTCACAATTTCGTTTCATTTATATTTTCCTTATCTCCCTTCTTATATTATTTTGAAGCAAATGCCAAACCTCATGCCATTTCATTCTAAATATTTTAGTAGGTGTCTTTAGAAGTACTCTTTAAACATAGCTGCCATACCATTATCACACCTGAAAAGTTAACAGTAATTTCTTATTATTACATAATGAGTCAGTGTTCAAATTGCCATTTTCTTTAAAGTTAAAGCATTTTTTTAAAATTTTTAAGTTTGATTCAAGATCCAGAGAGCAGATCCAGACACTGTGATTAGTTGATGGTTCCTAAGTACCTCTTGCACTATAGGTTCTCCCACCATTGCTTTTTCCCCTTGCAACTTATTGAAGAAACAGTTGTGCCAATTGCATCCTTCTGGTGTCATTCAACATGATCTCTGTCTTCTCTATTTCCCGTTAATTGGTAAATGATTAATCAGATTTAGATTTTATTCTTTTGGGCAAAGGTAGCAGTGTCTTCCTCCATCAGAAAGTACCAGATGTGAGAATGTGTTTGTGTAATTTTAGTAGCTGTTGATGTCCAATGCTTTTCTCCATTAGAAGCTACAAAATGATTGTAATTCCATCATTCCTTTTTCATTCATTTAATGAAATGGTTTTTCAAAGAGAAACTACCCTTCATCTGCTACTTATCTACCCAATGGTATAGTTTGTATGGGAAATGCAGGAAATATTAAGTTCTTTTGTGTTTATTTACTAGTTTTCAAAATAATGAATTAGTTCACTAGCATCTTCCAGTGGTGATCAATTAGTGCTTTGGTTTTTTTTTTTTTTTTATGGTTTATCTCTTTACTTAGTATCATTTTGAATTCATGTACTTAAGCACATTCAATGTTTCAATCCATTGCAGTTACTTTCTATACTGATGTTCAAATTGTGCTATTTTCAAATTGGCTCGCCATTCATTTTGAGAGCATTCTAAATAGTCCTTGATATCTTTCTTGCTATTTGGTATGACAAGATGTTGCAGATTCATCTCATACATTTCCTGCTGAACATGTTTTATTTTTTCTTAAATAAACTATTTTGAGTTTACATTGATAGTTCTAATTAAAAATAGGTGTACACAGATTTTACTCAACTTTCTCTCCAGTCAAGAATCCCAGTCCTAAGCAATTAATGGAATTAGAATATCACATAATTATTCACTTGACTTATCTCACAATATTTTACCCCACACAACAATCTTAGAACAACAATACTAACACTGCCACCAACAATAATATTATTGTCAAAAGTTTAAAATGAAGTTTTGCAATTTGTTTATTCCTTAGGGCATATTCCAGTAGGGATGTACAAATTATTGCATTTTATACCACTTAGACTAGTTCTCTATCTGGTTATGGCACCAACTGGATACACACTTAGGTACATTTACCATTTTTTTTAGAGATTGCTTTTATTATTTTGTAAAAATATTTAAATGACACCAGAGTTAAATCATCAAAACATGGTGTATTCAAAGAAGTCTAGCTTCTAACTTTGTCCCCTCAAACATATTTCCTCCCATCTCCCCCCTTATTAGTAACTATTTTTTTTTTAATTATGGTTAAGCCTTCAATTTTTAAAAATATAGGCAGATGTGTGTGTGTGTGTGTGTGTGTGTGTGTGTGTGTAGCCCTACCCTTCTTAAACAGTAACATGCTATAACACACTTCTGAAGTTTGCTTTTCTCAGTTAACAATGTATCATAGATTAGTCATTTTGACCACCACATAGTATCCATTGTGTGGATATACCATAGTTTTTAACCAAGCCCATACTGATTTCTAGTGTTTTCTGATATTTGTTGTTGTGAATAATTTTGTAATAGATTTGTGCATGTCTTTTAATTTTTGTAAGTTTATGTTTGGAATAGATTCCCTAAAATTGAATTGTTTGCAATGACCATCAACAGTGTATGAGAATGTCTGTTTCCCCACAACCTTGTCAACAAAGTATGTTGTCAGACTTGGGATTTTGCTAGTCTATAGGTGAGAAATAGTAACTCCACATTTTCATTTTTCTTATTATTAGTGAGGTTGAGCATCTTTTCATATGGCTAAGAACCACTTGTATTTTCCCTATGAACTGTCTATTCATTTTTCTAGCCCAGTTTTCTATAGGGTTGTTGATCTTTTCTTCCCCGTTTCAGAATGGGTCAATCTTTTCAGTCAAAATTTAGTCTCTAATCCTTTCTAATCATCTAACTTCTCAGATTATATTTTTAAGAAGTGGTAACTAGTGCTACATATTTGAACTGCAGTCATAGCAGCATTAAATATGAGAGAAAAAATTGGTCTTTTATCTATCAGCTTGTCAATTTAAAAAAAATTCTGCACCTTGTCAGGGTATTGTTTAGAAATGATTTTTCTCTGCCCATAAGCTTGTCATATCCAATCGACTTCTTGGCTATGTCTGATATGACTGTACAAATACCTTCTTAAAACTGATTATCACTTGTGTGGCAAACCAGCTAGATGCAGTCACTTAGATCAAGCTACCTCAAATTCCTTTTGGAAAATGGCAGGCCATTAGTAAAAGACAATATATAAGTCATTTACCATTCACTGATGCTGCTTCCTTGGCTATAAAGTAAAGGAGTTGGAAAAAATGATTGCTATACTCTTCTTTAAGTATAAAATTATCCGGCCTTGCATCACTTCATTTTCAAAAATCTAGTAGTGTCTCTGCCAAAACTCCAATAACCTTTCACTCCTTAATTCTTCCCCAAATGCCTTCCATTCATTATTCCTTAAACTATTACTTTTTTCTCCTCATGCCTTTTCTTATAGAACTGGTTCTGAAGTGTGGGCCCTGGGCCAGAAACATCAGCATTACCCGAGAAGTCAGAAATGCAAATCTTGGGCCCCGTCCCAGAGCTACTGAATCAAAAACTGGGGTTGAGGCCCAGCAACATGCTTAACAAGACTTCCAGGTAACTGATGCATACTAAAGTTTGAGAAACCAACAAATTAGACTATCCCTTTTCCACAATTCTTGGAATGCCCTTAGTAAAAGCTTTTAGCTTTTTATTGCACTTTACAGTGCCAAAGTTAAGTTTCAGATTTTTTCTTTCATTATATTCTCTTCCCAACTAGCCTATAAAGAATTATTTCTTCAACTTTTATCCTATCAAATAATCTAGCATAGTACTAGTCATGTTCCAAAGTTTTTAAGAACTCAACTACAGTTTGATTTCCTTTATTGTTGCTTTGAAGTAACAGCTCAATTAAAAATTATATCCCTTTTTTTTTTTTTTGCCCCCTAGGAAAATAACTGTTGCACTAAAGTGGGCTGAATGAACAAATAGGAAAATAGTTTCTAATGTCTGGCCTGAGCAACTTCTCTCCTGTTGTTTTAGAACTTCATACTGGGAAAATGGGGGAAATGTAGATGAAGCTTATGGTAGGCTCAGTAATCATACCCCAATATGTCCATGCCCTAATCCTTGGAACCTGTGAAGGTTACCTTTTATGGCAGTATGAACTTTGCAGATCTAAGTTAAGAAGCTGAGTTGGGGAGATTATCCTGTTCATCCAGGTGGACCCAACGATGTCTTCACAAGGTCCTTATAAGAGGGAACAAAGGGAGATAATAATGACAAAAGAGAGAAGGCCATATTATGGAAAAAGCATAGAGATTTGAAGATGCTACACTTTTGGCTTTGAAGATGAAGCGTTAGTGAGCTCCCATAAAGCAAGAAATTCAGCTCTAGATGCTGGGAAAGGCAAGGAAACAGATTCTCTCCTAGAGCCTCTAGAAGAACCAAGCCCTTCCAACACCCTGACTTTAGACCAGTGAAACTGATTTTGGACTTCTGGCCTCCGAACTGTAAGAGAATTAATTTTTGTTGTTTTAAGTCACTAAGTTAGTGGTAATTTGTTACAGCAACAATAGGAAACTAATAAGATTTTGACAAATTTTATTGTGAAATATTGGATTTAGAAAAAAGTACAAAATGTCAACAGTCAGATGTGTACAAGTACAGTATTTCAACAGTCTATACATGTGAACAGCTTAACAGTTCACTGGAGAATGCATATTTAGACCAATACAACCTAAAAAGGACTGCAATATTCACAGGCTATTAATACATAAATAACTTGAGCCCAAACAACCCTCACTGGTAAATGCTAATTAATAGTGGAAAGCAGGCTAAAAAGCACAATACAGCACAGCATAGTATCTCTTTACAGGTCCACATATAAAGAGTATCAGCTCATTATATCAATATACTACAGATTCAGGACTGGGACTCAATTACTAGTTTATGCAATTGAAAAAAAGTGTAAGTTATAAAATCAGGTCACGGAATAAAGACAGGGTATTTAATTAGGACTAAACAGTGTGAAGCCCCTAAAAGGTTTTAGCCTTAGAATTTACAAAGCTTATTTAGACCAATTTTCAATTTTAATGTTAGCTAAAATGGTGTGGGGGCAACTTTTTTTTGCAGCACCTCCCACAAGGTATACAAACTATTACATGGTTTACTTTAAAATGCACAACAATCACTGCAGACTAATGGCTATGAAACCAGAATAGAAAACATTAAAATCCATGTTAAGGCATTATCTATCACGGTTGAGAGTACTAAATGTAAGAAGATTATTATATGAAGATCTCATAAAAATAAACTAGTTTAATTTTTCCAAGTCTGACTGATTCAATCTTTTACTATCACTCGAAAATTACACTAGATTATGTTTCCAAATTGGACAAAGAATTATTTGGTATCACTTCATAGTGAACAAGTATAGGAATAGTCTACTGAAAAATGTCATGTTAAAAAGAATTGTTACAATCAACATGTATTTTTAAGAAAGCTGATCTTTGATATGACATTCATAATCAATATTTATCTAAAAACAAAAACTTTCAAAACTGGTAAATTTATTAACTGTTTACTTGAAACAAATTTATCTTTGCCCAAAAATTCCTAAGAGAAGGAACTCTTTACTCTCTATACAGTGTATTTAGCAATGCCTGATGCTTTAAAATTGAACTAAAAGTCTGTCTGACCAGATAATAAGTAGGAGATCAATTCCATTACAGGCTGAAAACCACTGGATCAGAATACAATTAATCGATAACTTCACATAACTTACCTTCACCCACCCTACCTTTACTTTTCATAGACAATTTTAAAGACTTTGAGACAATTTACTTATAAACAGTACCTGAATCTTATAGTACATTCCAATTTATTCAAAGAAAATCACTGATTGGATTAAAAAGTTATTTAATTTCTTCCAGAGTTGCTTTAAATTTACAAATTAAGTATGTGTACATAAATATTAACTTAGATAAGGCCGGCCCGTGGCTCACTCGGTAGAGTGTGGTGCTGATAAATATTAACTTAGATAAACACACATTATAGGATAAGCAGATATATGGACCATTGTAGAAATATCATAAATCTTATTTAAAAAGAGTAAAACATGTAACTCACAAAATATGAAAATGAAACCATATGACATAAAAAATAAAATTACTCTATCAGAAATGATTTAAAATTATATCTTTGGGGAAGTATTTTGCCAGAATTAAATGAATTCAATGACCAACAGCTTCCCTTTCCACACATAAAACTAACCACAAAGTGTTCTAAAATCTATATGCATTATCAGTTAGTTCTTAATGTTACCTCAAATGCAACTTTGATTTCCTTTTGAAATAAGCTTCTGTACATATGCATTATATACAAACACTTATTAAACATGATTTTAAAACAAACTATGTACAAGAGATCAGCATTCCTATAAATAAAAACATTAGGTGGCAAAAAGGCACTTGTAAGTAAAAATCTACAGTAGTTTTTACAAAACAAAAACACATTTTACCTTGAATACTGTACAATAAACATTAATTCCTATAGCAACAATGAAAATGCTAGGTTACTAATGCTAATGACATAACTTTTAAAAACATATTTACATATACTCTGAAGTTCATTTAACAAAAGCACCATTTAATTCTCTACTAAATTCTTGTTGATGCAAAGTAAAAACACAATTCCCCCCCAAAACCAGTGTTTACCATTTTCCTTGTTTAAAAGTTTTGTATTTCTAAGTTGAAAACTGTTTATCTGAAATTAGTATAGTGTAAAACATAAACCAAAACAAAAAGCCCTGCTGCTTTGACTTCTTGAGACCACACCTATTCTATTATTGCATGTTGCATTTTATAAAGAGCACTACTCATGCACTCCTTTACAACTGTTTAATACTATTGCTGGCAAAAAAGTTCCTGGATACAAATAATTAAAAAATTACTTCAAACCAGTTGAAGTTTATTTCAATGTTCCACAACTTAAAAAATGCTGTGTTTCATTACAAAAGTGAACGGGAGACACACCAATTTGTTAGGCGTTCAAAAATATTTTTTTCCACTACACAGAATTTAAGAAAGGGCTTCACAGAATTTTTTTTCCCCCAAATTTACATTGTAAGCAGAAACACTCAACAAGTAACTACTTTCTCAAGGAGATGTTAAGATGCTTCCACTTCTGTCGAACTTTTTACCCTTTGACAATGCTGCAACCTGTTTGAGCAGTTCTCTGTTTTTGGCCTGTAGGAAACAAAAACAATCGAGATTAAAAATGTTTAAAATACTATTAAGAGTCAGGCTGAAGAATACTACTCATTTAGTGCTGTTCTTTTCATTTATATAACAAAAGATTTCATTGAAACGCTAATAGATTAAATGAAAGAGTTGGCATATTTAGGTTCATCTCTTTAAGGCTGGACAGGTAGAAGGAAATTTCTAAATTGGTTTATCAGCCCTCTTTATAAATATAAATATAACTGTTCAAAGATACAATTGGTTACAAAAAAGGCAACAAAATGAATCCACTTAAAAGAAGGTCCAAATTTTAAATATGGAAAAAATGTTTGCCCCTTTATCCTAAAAACATGAAAACTATGAAAATAAGATGTATTTTATAATTAATAAGATCAAAGAATGAATCAAGTGTTGATTTGGGAGGAATATTTCCTGGCAAGCTGTCTGAGGTCTTTCATTTGATGTTTAGCTTTTTGTAGAACAAGCATAAAAAGTTGTTTTTGCAAAAGCATTAAGAATTGCCAAAGGCACTCTTTTAACTATTCACTTTCTTAAGCACCCATCAGAACCACCCTTTCTGATCTTACTTTTGTTCCTTTAATTGCCATTTAATTATTGGGCACTGGCTTTGGTGTGATTTGAGCAGTTCCATATCATCACTGTTTTCAATTTCATGAAAACCTAAATTTTTTTTTTAAACAAAGATTGAAAACTTCACTTTGACAAAGTTCTGAACTGAATCTGCACTCATTAGCAAATGTCTCATCCATCAGTGACAAAGACAATTATCCTCGAGCCAAGGTGCTATGACTATCATTACCATTTAGTGAGGAGGAATGGAGAAGTAGAGATCTGCAGTAAATACTTCCGTATTTTGACTGCCTTTGCCACCCTATGCAGTCTCTCAACTGTGGAAACTTATAGTAATAATATAATATATATAATATGGATCCCCCATTTATACAAATTAAGCACTTTTGAAGTTTCTGAGCCAAAACTGGGAGAATGATAACAATTTGTAGCCTGAACACTGTCCTAATGTTAACAAAACTTTAGAAGATATCCTCTGGCTTATATTTGAAAACTTTTCCTTCACAGGTTTCAAGATTTTTTTATTACCTAGACAGACTTTTTTAGCCTCGTGCTTCAATTTCTACTCTAATTTTAGCTTTTGTATGGTCAGATAACACCCTGCCTTCTCTGTTTGCCACCTTAAAGTGGTTTCGTGAACACAAATCTTTTCTAGACTTTGTATTTCCATTTCCCCACCCTTCTCCAATCAAATTTTTCCTAATTATCCTATGACCTCCAAAATGCCAGTATTCTCAGTACTGTCTTATATGTGCAAATGAAATCATTTTTTATGTTTGGTTGCATGATTACAGGGTTTCCCTATTCAAGTGTTACTAAATAAGATGGTAGTGAAGAATTTTAATTCGAAATACAATACCAATTTCAAATTTAGAAAACCATCAAGACGGGCCGGCCCGGTGGCTCACTCGGGAGAGTGCGGTGCTGATAACACCAAGGCCCCGGGTTCGGATCCCACACAGGGATGGCCGGTTCGCTCACTGGCTGAGCGTGGTGCTGACAACACCAAGTCAAGGGTTAAGAAAACCATCAAGAATTAAAGAGAATTTTTCCTTTAAATCTAAACAGTTTGAGAAGATGGGAGGACAAATAAAATGAGTTTATATGCCTGCCAGTTAGGGAGAATCAAGTAGCACACTCAATCAATTGATTTATTGCTCAGCTAACCAGTTCTAGTCAATGTGGTAGTTTAAATTTTTTCTTTAATTCTTACCTATATATTATTTAATTATGAAAAACCCCTGGCTAAAAATAGGAAATTTTTAAAAAAGAAATTTTAAAATACAAATAAGGGCATAATAAATCTATGTCTATAAATTTGCCTCACAGACCTCCACCAGATCTGAAATTTATATAAAAAAATGTTTATATGGACATACCAAATGATTAAAAAGTAAATTTCTAAATAAAACCAATAAATTTATAATTTTCATAGTCTATGTACAAAACCCAAGAACTCAAACATAAGGTCTTAAAAGCAGTTTTTCCATTTAATGCTTTAGTAGCTAATTTTCAATCTGCATTTATATATTTAGTTCCCTAACCATATCACTAATGTATTTATTTATTGATGAATTATGTAAGAAAATAAACAGCATATCAGTTGTTAAATGGACACATCTTATTCTAATTTAAGTATATTAGAATAGTGTCTTATTCTAATTTAAGCACATTAAAATTAAATTTTATAATGCCATATTTAAATATATTCACACTTAAATTTTTTATCCTAAAATTACTTATTATGCACCCTGCAAAAATCAATGAAATCATTTAAAAACTCTTAAGCAGGTTAGAAATGTTGCCCTAAAGAAAAGAATATCTTTATTAAGAATTACACAGATCCTGCTTTATATCCTGGGTTTGCCACTTACCTGCTATGTAACCTGAAGTATATTTTTTCATTTGTAAAACAGAAACTCCACCACCCCACTCAAAATGAGTTGAAAGATCAATATATAATCAAATATATAAAACACTTAGCCTAACACAGTGACTGGTACATAGCAGGCAATCAAATGTTAGTTACTCTTTTCCCTTTTAGCCTCTTGCCTAACTAAACAAACGGTAGAATTTTTTATTTGGTATTCTTAGTATTTTAGATGATTTGGAGGGTCTTGGGGGAGTGTTTTAGACCATTTTTTTTTACAATGTACAGTGCTTATTCCTCAGTTTGATAGTTAAGTTTTAAGAGCTGTTAGAGCCAGATAAATTTTGTGTTAAAGGGTTCAACTCCTTATCACAAAGATAAGAAAAATAGTTAACTATGTTTACTCACCTCAGTAGAGAATCCTACTAGTACACTGGCTGCTAAAGGGAGTGGGGTAAAAAGATGGCACTTAACTATGACAGAATGTCTCCAGCGATAACACAAAAGATACAGGAAAGTGCTCTGATAACAAGGATGAAATGGAAAGCTTGAGTAACCTGAGGTGGTGGGAGCCAGTGCAGAACAGGGGAAGTACAACTAAACCTAAGTCAGAAGATGTAGGTTTCCGTGTCACTATTCACTAATTGTTTGACCACAGTTTCATCTATAAAATGGGCATACCACATAACTCAGTTATTTTAAGGTGCAAATAAGACAGCATATATAAAATCGTGTTGAAAATGTCCTACTTCTCTATAAATATCAGTTACTTTTGTATTATATGAAACTTCAGCTACCACCCAAGAGGTGGGCTTAAGATACTAATCAGGCTAAACTGAAGTCAGGTCCTCCACGCTTGCAGGTAAGATTTAAAAAAAAAAAACAAAAACAGAAAATAAACTACTGTTTTGGGCCGGCCCGGTGGCGCACTCGGTAGAGTGCGGCGCTTGGGAGCGCGGCGGCGCTCCCGCCGAGGGTTCAGATCCCATATAGAGACCGGTCCACTCACTGGTTGAGCGCAGTGTGGGCGCGACACCGAGGGTTGTGATCCCGCTGCCGGTCACGAAAAAAAGACAAAAAGGAAAAAAAAGAAAAGAAAAGAAAAGAAACTACTGTTTTGAACAGTGGGAAGTACTAAGTTAAATCATATTTAAGTACCACTCATAGTTAGTCTGTTGATTCATTCTCGATCTATTCCAGAGTTTTGATTATATCACATTACATCAGAAATCATCAGGCGGAAGATTTTGTTACAGGTAATCATTCAGCATTAATAACTGAATGAGAAAAATAAGAATATCAAACTAAAAACAATACTTGCTGGTGGATGAAAAACAGTAATTAATGTACAAGCCTGACATGATACGAGCAATCTCTCAGGACAGAGAGCATATAGGTATTTCCATAAATCACCTCTCACTCAACAAATTATTTGAATGCCTACAATGTCCCAAGTTCTACGTGAGGTTCTCTTCAAAATTCTTTGTAACAGTAAGATCAAAGTTAAAACCAGGCAATCTGTACCCTGAATTTCAGTAAGTTCCTAAATCCTACTCAATTTAAGCTACTTGCAAAAAAGTGTGAATAATACAAAACCAAAAGATAGGAATAGCAAATATCCCTTGATGTTACAATGTTAAAAAAAAGGGGGGGGGGGGCAGTATTAATTCCATCCTTCAGAAGCTGTATTCTCCCATCAAGTCTGAAGTCAATAGGAATAGCAAATATCCCTTGATGTTACAATGTTAAAAAAAAAAGGGGGGGGGGCAGTATTAATTCCATCCTTCAGAAGCTGTATTCTCCCATCAAGTCTGAAGTCTGAATGCTGGCATAATCTAAGATTTTAAGAATTAAAACTTCTTAACCTTAAAAACCCTCACTCAAAGATTAATTCTACAAATGTCAGAATGTATAAATTAGAGAATGCATAATTAATTTAGTGTGGTCTGATTTCCAAATTTTATGAAACCTAGGTGCTAAGAACAAGCTTTAATAAGGGAATAATCTGTATCCTTGTTGGACGTTCAACATCTCTGCATGCCAGACATCAGGTACCATCTTCTTTGTTACTATGTGACTCTTGACTTTGCCATCTATTGTTCTGTATATTTAAACCCTGCTTAATACCCTTTGCAATGGATCACTAGCTACTGGCATATAGCAGAACTCTATCTGGCACTTTCCAAATCACAGTACATAGGTTAAGTACGCTCTCTTGACTCCATCATTGAAGGCAGCATAAATCATCTCCACTCGAGGTCCCTGATAATTGGTTTTATTTATTTTTCGATGACTGCCAATGGGGGGATCTTTGAACTTAAATCAGCATCATGCTCTAACCAAGTGGGCTAAATGGCCAGTCCCTGAGAATTGGTTTTATACACCCACCTTCCTTCTTATTATCTAGAGGGAAATAGGAAGAATGATTGCCATTAAAGACCTTACTTTCACCTTAGTTTCACGAATCTGTTTTTAAATTTTTGCTTTTGATCAACTGAACATACTCCAATGATCTCCTCCTCTGAAAACTCCATTTGAAGTTTAGGCAAAAGTATTTAGGATTAATACACCAAGTCACTTTTCGAGTAATTTCAAATAAAAACTTTTTCAAATAACTTTTAATGGGATCAGGGTTAAAAACTATTACAAAGTCACAGTCACAACTTAAAATGCACCTAATATGCACAGAACAGGCATACCAATTTAAGTCAAAAGATGCTTTTAGCCAAGTTTAGCCCTCCTTGCCTAACATTTTGTATAAATAATGTCATTCACCTGAAGTTGTTCCACTGTTTCTTTGTGAGCTTTTTCCATACTGTTCATTTTTGTTCTCAAATTTGACTCTTGGTACTGAAAGTCAGCCTTTAGTTCAGTTAACTGAAATATTAAAAAAAGAATTATACATATAGTATATTTTATATATGTGCACATACACAAACACAGATCATTTTAAATATTCTTCACAATAAACCCACACTTCATGATAAAAGTGGAAGATGTTAATAGCAGTTTCCTGAGTTTTACAACTTACCTAGAATTTGTTATGTAAAATGATGAATTCTATTTGCTTTACTGTAGTATAATTTAATGTTAAGATGATATGTGACCATCAGTAAAACTTCTGAGATGTTGCCTTATTGGGTTTTTTAAAGGTGACTTTACTGGACACAGAATTTGGCAACTGGTATGCCAACAGGAAAGTTTAATGGCTAATACCTTGGGAAATGCTTCAATGCAAATGTACTTCACATTAATATAAAAGTAAATATTAAAACTGATTTCAGGTTAAAATATTTCAATAATAAAAAGAAAAAAGTTTCACACTGGGCAAATATTAGGGCACTTCAAAAAGTTCATGCGAAGATTCATATTACCTTTTAATTCTATTTTTTCACGAACTTTCTCAAGTACCCTTATATTAAGAGGAATGTCTTATCAATCAAGAGCTGTATTGTTTTTATTTTTAAGTTTATGTCCAGGATTATGTACACGCCACCACCTAACACTTGAGGTAAAAAAGGAGGACAAAGCACAGAAATATAACTAACATAGGATGAGATGGGAAAGGTGGTTACTATAAAACCTGGGCTAAATAAGACAAATATAAGGAAAAAAATCAGTGGTTTTAGGAAGCAAAGAAGGCTACGTGACAATTTTTTCATAAATATAAACGACACGCACAAAAGTACAATATCTCATGACTTCAAACTAAAAAATAAGTTGTTATGTGATTTTCATTGATCAGAACCATGCAGAAGCAGCTTCAGGTTATTGTTAAATCTTTTTCCTTATGTCAGCTTTATAGGTATGCACATTCTTTTTGTAATTACTCGGTAGCTAGTAAATTGAAAGACATACAGAAAAAGAGAAAGGAAGGCATAGTGTCTTACATTCTTATCTTTCTGAATAAAAGCTCTTACTTTGGTCAAATGCAAAGAGTAACTAAATTCTCTCTCTCCATCTTCTATATTACAAATGAATTCCTGTTCTGAAATGCCAATTCAAACCAGATTAGCTAACATAATTATTCTGTTGCCTCTGTGTGTTGCCTCCAGACTATGAACCTCTACACTGTGTGTTGCCTCCAGACTATGAACCTCTCAAAGATAAGTCTCATTTATACATCTTTGTATTCTTATGATCTAGTACAATGTCTGGTTCTCGAAGTCACTGAATAACTGTTTGTGAAATAAATTCAGAAAAATAACTTGGTTGTCTTAGACTTACAAGGAAAAGGTGAAAATGTGCTGCTATTTTAGGCTTATAATTATTATTTTCCTTACAACACTGCTAATTTCAATGCCCATTAGTTTTTTTTTTTGTTTTTTTTTTAAAAAGGGACACTAACAAAAGCAAAAAACAACTAACTGCACCAACACAGAACAGTCACGTTAGAAAGAAAAAGAAAAATCTAAAAAAAATAGTCAATATTCCACAGCTTATTACTACTTGGTTTTGGAATCACTGATATGTTGCAGTAAGCTTAGCATTTTATTCACTGTTTCTCAAAGTTAATGCAGATACACCTGGCTTTGTGGGATAGAACTGTCTCTGAAATTCTGTGCATGGAAAAAATTTCCATAAAAGCTTATAAATTTTGGGCTGGCCCAGTGGCGCACTTGGTAGAGTGCGGCACCCGGGAGCGCAGCAGCGCTCCTGCCGAGGGTTTGGATACCATATAGAGACCGGTCTGCTCACTGGTTGAGCGCGGTGCGGGCGCGACACCGAGGGTTGCGATCCCGTTGCCGGTCGCGGTACGGGCGTGACACCGAGGGTTGCGATCCCGTTACCAGTCACGAAAAAAACGACAAAAAGGGAAAAAAAAAAAAAAAGCTTATAAATTTTAAAAATGCTGTTAATCAAAAACAACCATAAGAAAAAGATACCCACAACTATCCTATTTTTTGTCTTTTATGTCAATCCTAATTTTCATATCCTGAATTTGCTCAAAGGAACAAAAATGTATTAAAATAATTTAAGTCCACTAACCATCAAGGTGTGGGAAAATGTACCAAAGTAGAATGCCAGAAGTAAAGCCAGCTCAGACTCAAACACTACAATGGATACTCAGAGATCCATAATGGATATACATATTTATAATCATGTCTTGTTCATTATTTTAAAAGAATTGTTTTCAATGTTTTTCTCTTGCATACTGTTTTGATATAGGTCAAACTACACTGTCGGGAACAATAAAGCAAGTACAAAAGTAGGTTCTACCCTCAAAGATAAACATCAGTAACAGCACTTATGAGCACTTAAACATACATGCCAGGAGCTGTAGTAAATACTTTCCATTTTAATTTAATCATCATAATCATCCTATGAGATAGTATTAACGCTCCCATTTTCAAAATGAGAAAATTGAGGCCTGCCGAAGTGAAAGCACTCTGCACAATGTCACACAGAATGTATTACAAATGGGACTTTAACCCCGCTATGGCTAAATACTTCAAAACTCCTGTTTCTTGCTCCATGCCTGACCACTTTTAGGCTATACTGATTTCATAGCATAAGAAAACCTTAAATCTGGCTATACTTGTTAACATTCCTCTTTTCAATAAATGGATAACATATTTGATATTCCTCTTAACTAATAAACAAAGTTACAATAAGTACACTTACTTCCTATAAAGTGATCTTAGACATCTGTTGCTAATCACTAACTACTACACAGGAAATTCCCAAACCATTACTTTTCATCAGTTATTTGATCGGGATTGATACAAATTCATGATCAAAGGCTATATTCAAGTACTTTCTCAAATCACAAGAATCTACACAACATTCTATTTATATCTCATTTTTAAATTATTAAGATACTAGGTAATTTGTAATTATCAAGCAAGAGTCAAGATGTAAATCTTACCAGGGTCACTGAACCATGTTCTTACCTTTTTATCTTTTTCTAAAATGGTCTGGTCTCTTTGCTGTAAGAGACGCTTAAGTGACATCACTTCTTCTTTCAGTTGACTTATAAGGACAAAATTGTCTGTTCCCCCACTATCTGCTGACTGATTTATAGAGCTACTAAAAAAGAAAAAAGCAAAGCACAGTTAAATGAAGTAGAAGGAAAATTAGCAGGTGTTCAAATTGCATAAATTAGACAATTCCACAAACATCCTTAAGGCTAATGCAAAAAAATATGTACCTGACAGAAATGGATGCAACTGGCAAATTACCTTACTAATGGCACACATTACATACACCTGCAGAAATATAATTCAGTATTAGCTTTTAGGGGGTCAATACTTCTAGTGTAAAGCAATAGGCAGCCAATTTGTACAGTAACATCAGCAAACTTTTGGCTAATGAACTAAAACAAAGTCACACATAATATTTTAAATCTAAAAACATTTTCTAAGCAGGTCAATTTAAAATATCACAATTAGATTTGTGTTTCTTTGAAGATTAAGATAAAGAAAATGTTCTCTACTCAGATTTTTTTTTTCAAAACCCAAATTTATTCCCCAAATAGAACAACATACTTCAGTGCCACTTTCTTATTGCCAAAATAAAGTTAAATTTTTAAAAATTGATTATGTTTACTCTTCTATGTGACTTGAAGTCATCAATGTAGAAGATACATGTTTCTATTTTATCTAATAATACCTGGCAACCAACCATAACTATTCAACTAAGTTGAATTTTTACAACACTAAAGGAATTCATTTTTACCTATCTCCATTAGATGGCTTAGATTCCAATTTGGGCTTTTTCTTTGGAGTCTCATTCTGAATTGCTGAAGAGGATTTATGGCTGAAATCAAACATTAATAATAATTAGAGGAAAAAGGGCAGACATACTAATTGATAAGTTATTCTTCTTCCCTCAAAATATTACTAAACATGATTGACTTTTTAAAGCCTAAGTAACAAAATTGAAGGGATATCGCATTTATAAAAATACATTTCAAAATATTTCAGAAAACATGTTAATGTATTTACCTCTGTTTCCATAGTCCCTGCTCTTGTTCTGGACTTAGATTGCTGATTCTGAAAAATATATAAATGACATCCAATAACAATATTTATTTAATACATATACATTTACCAGTATTCTTTCTCAAAAGAATCAAATTGTTTATAATGTTTTGTTCAGAAAAACGCAAATTTAATGAAGTGCTCAGACTAAGCTAATATATACTGAATAAATCACGTTCCAATGATATAGATTCTAATCAAGTCCCTACTAGCCTTAAGTTCTTTAAGAAAGGTATGATAATAGAAATTAAATTTTCTTTTTTATCAGGATCTCCTTAATTCAATTTAATATCATACTGAGGGCTGGGGTATAAAAGCATGAAAACTACAACAGGGTTCTATAATTATAAAGTCATTATACTTTGGCTACCCTTACCATTTCAGCAGAAAATCTGTGTCTTTAAAGTTCAGGCTTTCCTAATAATCCTAAATAGAGACTTCTTTTCGAGTAGCTAAAGTTGCTCACAATAGTGTGTCAAGTTGAACAAGGAAATATCTTAATTTTTTTGATTTCTTCCTGGCTTTCCTAAGAATACTCTCTAAAGTCAGATCTCTCTTTAGTCAGTAGTCTGGAGAAGTCATGCTGAAAATACTGGGAAATTCCACAGTAAACAAATGATTTTACTCTTATGTATAATTAATACTACAAGATGATTCCTTTTCCATTTCGCCTTAATACTAATAACCTTTTTATAATTCACTATGAATCCTACATTTTTTTCTCCTATATTTGCACATCAGTCAATCCTTCACTAACCCTTGGCTTATTCACTCAACATGTGTAGAGCATCTCCTATGAACCAGATACCACATATTTGTACAATTTAAGAGATGTTAGACCCGGGCTGTGTGATCTTGGGCAAGTTACTTAAAATCCCTGAGTGTCAGTTCCCTCATTTGTAAAATGGGTATAATACATATCTTATAGGGATATGAGTATTTTTTTTTTTTTTGTCCTTTTTGAGACCGGCCGCACTGCGCTCAGCCAGTGAGTGCTGTGAGCGCACCGGTCATCCCTATGTAGGATCCGAACCTGTGGCGGGACTCTCCCAAGTGCGCCACGGGCTTGGCCCGGGATATGAGTATTAAATGAGGTATATATGCAAAAGCACTTAGTACCATCCCAGTATTTATGAGTATATTTTTAAAAGTTCATGGAAAAATTTATATTATCTTTTAATTCTATTTTCCCACAAACTTTTTGAAGTACCCTCATTCAAAATAGATATATGTAGATATATTTGTCTGTGTCTGTGCAAAATTTACTATTGTTTTAGCTGTAGAAGCTTTTTAAGCAAAAGTAGAAAATAAATCATGTCCTTAAGAATCAGCTATACATAAATACCAGGTTGGGGAAACAGTAGTTGTAATCCTATCAACCTGAGTTATTCTTTACTTGTGACAATGAATGGCAACCCTATTGAGGAATTCAGTTACCATTTTGTTTCTTTAACAAATTTCATTATAAGCATTAGCAAGCCATATAATCACACATGAATTAAAAGCACTAACCAGACCTAAAAGTGAGAACGATCATATTAATAATCATTTATCAGAAACTCTTGAAATTCCTTACTTAGACTTCTGAGGGTTGTCCATTCCTGGATCCAGATTAACCCTAGTACCACTCTCTGCCACCACCATCCCTGCCAATCATCATCTACCGAAATATGCATACTCCTCATATTAGTTCTAATATACTGAACTTAAGACAGATTCTACAACCTACAAACTGGTTGCCTGTTCATCAAATACAAACTAATATTTGTATTTCTTAAGTAATCAAAAGGGGAAAAAAAATTGAAAGTCACTGATAAACTCTTCCCTTTACTTCCGAAAAAGGGAAACATTACATTCTTTCAAAAAAATTACGTTAGTCACATAATTTGATGTTTATAAATATACTCTGATTGTGTCTTTCCACATCATGTTAAGGTAAATTTATCTGTAAAGGACAGGGCAAAGAGACATTTTGGCAGTCTTAAGAATAGGTCTGACATATGTTATTATGGTATACAGTTATTTTGTTATATTTTTTCTTAAAGCAAGAAGCAAAAACAAGGAAGATTTATGTGTTCTTTGCTCCCTGGGTACTGTGATATAAAAACCACAAGATTTCTTCAAAATAGCCAGATTAGAAGTCAATGCATTGCAGTCTGCCACTATCATACCTAGAAAGCACAATGTGTTAAAAATGAACATCAGTGCCACAACAAAACCTCATAATCTACTAGGTGCCTATGTACAGTTTAGAATTAAACCTTACTAATTAGGTAGAACTATATTATTTTCCAAAAATACCATTATGTGTTCCAAAACGTGGTAGGCATCAGTTTTCTGTAAATGGAATTATTTTTTATTAACTACCTGTAACTTTAAAGACTCATAGAGAAATTTAGGAAAAAATAATAAGTCATTCTGAAAATGGGTGTATGTATTATGTCCCTATTTTTTCCATTTTAATTTGTGTGCTTATAGGAATTCATGTTTTAATGTTCTTGATTTTTCCATGAAGATTAAAATCACATTTAAAATACATTTTATACTGCACACATAAAGGGTTAACTCCACCCCCCACCAAGCCACTTAAAGAATCAAGGAGTTGTGTATATTTGAATAGGGTTCTTGCCTATGTGTTTTAACAAACAGTAAACTACTACTAGTTAAAGATAATGTTTCTCATACTTGGGAACCTCCAAGATTAAGTAAAAAATCCTAACAATCATTTAAACAAAAAAAATATTGTGGCCTTTGTTAACTTAAATCATTGAAGTATTAACTCTGATGTACCTGTATTTTGACTTCATGATATGATCATAATTTTAGATTCTCCAAATGTCCTATCTTTTACTATGGTAAACACCTAAACACATTCCATATGTGTAATTTTATACACTGAATAAACTGGGGACATAACCTTAGACACTAAAGAAGTTTACCATTTACAATGGAAACTAAACCAGCACAAGCAACATTTGTAAGAAATAAATAATATATGGCACTAAAATGAAAGAGAGGATTTTAGAACACAATTTCAAAGTACTTACTTGTGATGGCTACTGCTGTGACGATGGTGATGGTGATGATGGTGGTGATGATGTTTTGAATGATGCTGGTCTTTCTCAGTAAGAGATGAAGATGATGAATTTGAATGTGAAGATCCCAGGCTCTTCCTTTGTTCTTTTGTCTTCTGTAAAACTCTCTTGTATGATAAAGTACAGAGCCAGCATAACAACTTCCCATCAACCTTTTAAGAAAATATTTGTATTAGATTAAATGCACCCATACACTGGCTGTAAGTGAAACCAGGTAAGATAAACTGCCCAACTTCCAGCTGTATTTCACACATTCGTACACACATGCATGCAGCCATGCATTCACAGATCTGCAAAATGGAAAATAAAGTCAGACTTTTAGGAAATTTGTGAAAATGCTTATTTGGAGGAGTATAAAACTGGTGAAGATGATGTATGGACTCCCATTAGTTTTGAGCCATTTTTAATTTGGAGAGAGACATGTTACCCTTTTTCTTATTCTTGGAAAGCAAGCATAAATTGATGACATACTTCCAAGAAATCTAGTCTGAATTCTTAAATCACTGTGTAATTACTAAAATGATAAAAGTACTTCCCACTACAGTAAATATTATGAATTTATAGGAAAGCAGGACTGCCTAAATGACCTTTACAATCAATTCTCATTATTTGCAGATTTCGTAATTGCAAATTTGCCTATTAAAATTTATCTGTAACCCCAAAATTAATATAGCGCTTTTATGGTTATTTGCACACATGCACAGAGCAGCAATAAATTTGTGTCACCCAACAGCACGTTCCCAGCTGAGGTGGAACAAAGTGATGCTCTGCCTTCCTGTTTTTAGCTCCCATACTGTAAACAAGTATCCTTTTCATGGTCTATTTAATGCTATGTTTTTCAAGTTTTTGTGTTTTTTGTTGGTGATTTCAATGTTTAAAATAGTCCCAAATAGAAGTGCTTAAGTACTGTATAGTATTCCTATGCTCAAGAAGGCTGTGATGTGCCTTAATGAAAAAATAACATGTGTTAGGTAAGTTTCATTATGGCATCATTATTGCTGTTGGCCATGATTTCAATTAATCAATATATATACTAAGTATGTTGTCTTTAAACAGAAATACACACAAAATAAGGTTATGTATTGATCAACAGACCAACATTTTTTGTCTGGAGGCAGGAACCTAATCCCCTATTTCCCTTAGAAGCAACAATTCAGTATTTACTAATTCAGAGCTTGTGGCAACTTTATAGAACATAACTACCACAAATAATGAAAACCAACTGTATGTGTCAAGGAAGAGGAAAAGGAACTTCTTTCCAAAATTCAGATTAAACCTATAAAAAATTAAACCAAGTTTCTGTCTTCTGTTTGTTCACACAAAAATTGTTGGAGGGACATGTCTTACAACTAGGGTACATACATTGCTGTGTGGGGACCTGGGGGAGCCTCTCAAAGACAGTCATCCTCCAAATCAACTGATACTGATAGACAACAGGAGGCCTGTGTGAATGCTGATCAGCAGAGGAATGCCACATGCACACACATACTTATTAAGTCACTGTAGGTAAAGAAAAACAAACAATGGTTTCAAATATGAGACCATATCAAAAGGCACAAGACTAACTTTGAATTTTAAGTGATAATGTGCCATCAGGTATTTTTTCACACCAGCAACTTCAAGTAACCAGGAAAATGGTTAAGTAGGTGAAAGGATTTATTAAACAGCAATTAGTAAGTCTCCCAAACTAAATAGGGGATAACCAAATAGTACAAAATAGCCATCACAAAATATTTTTTTAAATTATAGTAATCCTAATTGATCAACATGGATCTACACACGATGCAAACAAGGAGAAAACTATTGCTGAACTTTCCTCTTACTACCTGCTTTGAGACCCAAAGAACATATCATGTCTCAGCAGTGTATTAATTATAATAATTTCCAACTTGTGTGGCAGTTTCTTTAATTTCCTTAAGATGTCATAACATAAATTAAACACACCTTTCTCCTTCCTTCCTCCTTCCGATCAAAAGCACATTGTTGTTTGCACTGTTCACAGGTCTGAGGTGGTCCATATTTTTTTTCTGAATTTGTGCAACGCTGACACTTGGTACCAATAAACGCTGCGATTATGTTACAGTACTGACAAGGCTTGGGCTGAAAAACAGGTATACGTTTTCTTTAATGGACATTTAAAAATATTAAATATTAAATATTTGCTGCATAAAATATACCCAGTGTTACATACATATTTCTGGGATTAAGTAAGAAAATTAATGTATAAAAAATTAGTTTTCTATCAAGAATGTAATCCTGTCACATTCCATAACATTTACCATTTTTCTATTCATTCAACTAATATTTATTTCTAGAGTGAGGAAACTCACTGTTACTGTATTAAAACATTTACACAGTAAGAACATGAGAAATATGTATATTTACAACTTGCATAGTTTATTATGTAATATATAAGCTACACATGAAAAAGACCTCAAAGAATAAAAATAAAGGTACACATATATAGAAAAGTCTCATGTATCCAGATTTGGGGGAATGAACTAACTTAATATCCTGGTTAGCTTAATTACTGTAACATTTGTTCAAAAAAGGGCCGGCCCGTGGCTCACTCGGGAGAGTGCAGTGCTGATAACACCAAGGCCCCGGGTTCGGATCCCATACAGGGATGGCCGGTTGGCTCGCTGGCTGAGCGCGGTGCTGACAACACCAAGTCAAGGGTTAAGATCCCCTTACTGGTCATCTTTTAAAAAAAAAAAAAAAAAAAAATTTGTTCCAAAAAAATTAAGTTTTCATCATACATAAATGTACAGATGATACAAAAATATATACTACAGTTGAGTTTTCAATTTAAAAAAAATTGGCACAAGCATACTGAACATAAACTATACAAACATACCTTGATTTTCTTTGATATTCAAAAGGCAATTCAGGGTCAAATAGAGCTTTAAAGTCAACACTTTGACCAATAATACATAATATCAGTATAATATAACAATAATTACTGTAATATACTCACACATGTAGACAACCTGTACTAAGATAATGTCATGACATCTGTAAATAAATACTTGAATTGTGCTGCTGTTTAAAAATAGCTTGAGGTTCTGAAGGGGGGAAAAAGTTTGATTACACAAACTTTATGGATAAGTAGGTTCTCCATAACCAGTCGTTTGCTATATTTGAGTCTTTAAAGAACAGCTTCACAAATTTCATGTTGAAATTCAATACACATAAAATATGCACATAATCTGTTTTTAAATGTTGCCACCTTCCCAGACTGTCTACAGAAAATTCCTTTCATGGAATATTTTAGTATGTTGAAATATTTTTTTTTTTCCTTTTTGTCTTTTTTCATGTCCGGCAACGGACCGCAACCCTCAGTGTCGCGCCCGTACGGGACCTGGACTGGCAACGGGATCGCAACCCTCGGTGCTGCGCCCGCCCCTCGCTCAGCCAGTGAGCGGGAACCGGTCTGTATGTGGGATCCGAACCCTCGGCGGGAGCGCCACCGCACTCCCAAGCAGCGCACTGTAGCAGTGCGCCACCGGGCCGGCCCCTAGTATGTTGAAATATTTAAGAACACTGAAATACATGTTTGTTAAAGGCTCATTCATCTCTGTGACGAACACTGATAGACCAGTAACAATCACATGAAGATGTAAGAAATACTTACCGTCCCAAATTGCTTCACATTTTGAGCACACTTCTTACAAATTGTGTTAGTTTTGCTGAAAAGGAAATTATATACAGATGATCACATTTACATAGCTTTCTGAGATAATAAGCTCAATGCTGAAGTAAATGAACTTGCAGTACTTAAAACTTACTCTAATACAAAGAATTTTTTAAAAATATATAAATATAAGGACATTTTTAGGGTTGTTTTACCTGAATTTATTTCTCAGCTATTAACTTAAGACAAACATTTTTATAGTATTTTTTTTTTTTTTGGAAAGGAAACAAAACAAAAAATCCTAATGTTTCCTATCTAGGTCCCAAACCTTCACACTTGCCACTATTAATGCACAGCATTACATATCAGTGCCTACCTAACCTGTCACTCGGTCATTCTTCATTATCACGCACACACCTACTAATAAAAATGTTTGTTCTTCTTTTAGGCTACTTTCTTGAGGGTGCCCTCCAAGTGGATTCAAGAGTTAAAAAAAAAAAGTATGCGTTCTTCCACTGGTAAGAAGTTACTAGATTCCACCCTTGGAAAGCAACTGGTAACAGTATAGATCTTTCCTCAGGTCCGTTAATGTTTTACCAGGTTTTTATAGCTTAACACTAATTATACGAGGATCCCTCAAAAAGTTCATGGAAACATTCGTATTATCTTTTAATTCTAACCTTTTCCATGAACTTTATGAAGTACCCTCATATGCACTTTCATTAGTAAGGCTGTACATTTTCCAAGCAATAATTTATTCTTTACTTTCTCATGTGTAAACTCAAGTCTAGTTATAAAATAACCACTGTTCTTTTGTCAACATTTTCTCTCCCACCATATAGGTACAAAGAGCTTAAAACTCAAAAGACTAAACCATTTTTTAAAAATGCTTTATTACAAATATGGGATCACAACCCCCAACTATTCCTTACAGACCACACTTCATCTTTAACAATCAAAAACTGTTCAGTATACAAACCTCTCTTGCTGAAATTCTGATCTGCAGTAAGTACACTTTACAATAGGATGCGCAATCCGACATTCCTGTAATAAGACAACACGTTAGTCAGGATCTATCTCCAAGTCCCAAATCTCACTTTTCTGGTAGGAAATGATTACCCAACCTAGTCAAATGTCTAAAACATCAATAAAATCTGGCCCACAACATAAACAATTGGGTGATTTATCATATTAAGTGGCCGATCACATATAATTTCTTAGGAAAAGAATAGTTGTCTTTGTCTCAGATGTGGTAATTTATTAATTACAGATAAATGAAGAAAGCTGTCAGGGCCGAGTTCAAGGATTGGTTAAATGTAAAACTACTTATTATTTTACACCGTTGCTCACAGACAGCATCCCGGCTTTAATGGGATGGGAGGAGCTCCAAATCATAGAGCATTCTGTTCCCAAACCAGTCGCTTCGCTTTCCTGGACAGGGAAGGAGGATGCCATCAGCTTTGCGGCTTCAGGTTCCTAGCAAGAAAGTGCAAAAACCGTCCCCTGCCTCCTGGTGGAAGGAGAGGACAGACCAGGCAGAAAACCGAGATGAAAACATCTCCACCCCAGCCTCTCTGCGACACAGACAGGTGGCTGCTTCACTCAGCCCCACCCGTGAGACCCCCGGACGCTGCTGGGGCCCGGCCCCCTCCTGGGCCGCCTGGAGGAGGGCAGGATGCTGTCTCCTTCTCAGGGCCTTTCTCAGTTAATGCCCAGCCCTTCAGAAAAAGGGGTCCCCGGATGGGGAGATTGGGGCTCCGGATTCCCCAGCCCCCGAGGCACCGGCGAAGAGAGCGGGGCTGCAGTGCGGCGGACACCCAGCCCCCTTGGGCTACAGCAAAGGAAACCCCGCCCGCCCGGAGCCCACGGACCTTGCAAAGCTGCTGGCCCTGGGAGAGCTCCTCGAAGGGATAGCGCTGGGTACACTTGGTGCAGGCGTACAGGGCCGAGGCCGCCATCCTGCTCAGTCTCCTCCTCCGCCGCCGCCGCCCGCTCCGAGGCGGAGCCCTACAGGCAACTCGGGCGCCGCCGTCACCGCCGCCCGGGCCGCGGGCTCCTCCTCCTCCTCCCCCTCCCCCGACCTCGCGCCCACCAGGGCCTCGCCGCGAGAGCCCAAGGCCCCGCGGAGGCCACCGCCGTCTCCCTCCGCCTCCACTTCCGCCCCAGCCCACCCAGTGACGCCGTCCTAGCCGCTCCCGCTTAGGCCCCGATAACGGCGGAGGGAGACGAAGCGGACAGTTCGATGCGGTTTAGCTGCGCGGCCGCGGATCCGCTTCCTTCTCGGCCTCCCTTCACCATCCCTGATTGGCTACGGCTAGTACTACGTCACTCGACCGCTCCTCCCAACTCTTAACCCCGGCTACGCAAGGAGCTCCCACAAAGGGAGGAAGTCACTGGCCAATAAGAGCCCAACGCTCTCAGCGCGCGAAATCCCTTTTAAGCCCGCCCCGCCCAAAGGTCCTGGTCGCGGCTATTTCTAGCAGCCGGTCTCAGGTTTGGGTGATAGTGTCCTAACCCAATTGGGCAAATGTCGGCGAAAGATTTGTTCTCTACCACTAATTGCTCCGTACGTTTCTATTGGACCAAAGCATTAAGCCCCTCCTAACCCTGTTTGTTATTGGCCAAGAGGTAAGTACTTCGTACGGAGAGGTGTCCCCAAGTCTAACGCTGTCTTCAGCGTATAACCCAAGGAAACCGATGAAGTGTTTAAATCTCGCATTCGCTTTTATTCTGTTCCAGAAATTCCATTCAGTTGCTGCTGGCGACAACAACCCCTTGCCCACTTTTCCTCCTCGAGCAGGCCCTCCCTTTCGTAGCATCCCCTCAGAGCCGCCTGGTAGTCTGCGGCGTTACCTGCCACCGGCGGTTACAGCTACTTGTGACGTCACCGAGGGAAGAGGCGGACTCTCTCCGACAACAGGAAGACGTCCGCTTTTTTGATTGGCTATTGAAGACGTCCGTTAGGACGTGTTGCCCTTTCCGTGTGCGCTGTGAACGTGGGCCTCCCGGTGGGGGTGTGTGGCAGGGTCTTCTAAGGGCGGCACCAGCACCCCCGCCCTGTCCATCAGGGGTTCAGCTTAGGGTCGCCCCTGGTGGGCGGCTCTCGAATCTTGAAGAAGAGCACAAGAACCCGGATCTCCCAGAGCTGTGGAGACTTGCTGGGCAGGCAGGAAGATGGCGGCGGCATCGGTCTCTGCGGCTTCTGTTTCTCAGTTCTCGGTAAGAAGCGGTTGGCATTCGAAAGGGTTCCAGGTCGTTCCTTGGCGCCTTTTCGCATTTCCTCACGCTTCCGGGCGCTCTCGGTACAGCTTCTGACCTCATTCTGAAAGACGGCGGCGGGCGCTTGGAGCGTCCCGCGCTGCCCAGGTTTCCACTGCTCCTCCGTCGAGGCTGCACCCTCTGGCTTCTAGTGAAACGGGCCTGGCCCGTTTCTATTCCCCATCCTTCGTTCACTTTTCGGCCTAGCAGCTCAGGTTGCCGGACACTGCTAGAGCTCGGCTGGGACGACTGAGCCCACTCCGTGGCCTGCGAAAACATACCGTCTTTGGTCACGTGGGTGTAACGGCCCCTCTTGGAAACTCGCCGAGACCAGGTAGGTGCGCCAGTCTAATAGACAGCTGTTAAGTAGTCCGCAGTCTCTTAAGCGCATTCCAGTCGTTGTTTATGCTGTTTCCTTTGCCTGTAGTTCCTCTTCTCCCATTCTCTCATTGATGTGTTGGTTGATTCTCCTAGCCCCAGCGCGCGCTTCCCGCGTCCCACCGTGTTACCAGGACTGCAACGTGGAAATGCCGTTTTGAAGAGGCGGCAGGAGGAACTGATGTTAAATATTATTTTTGCCTTTACAAGGGTAGCCAGAAAATTATTGGTATTAGTCGACTTGGAGTGTCGAACGCCTAGTGTTTTGGAAACCTCCGCATTGGGAAGTGATTGGAAACGTGACAAAGCTGAAATTGGATCCTTTTTCTGTCCAATTAGCAAATGCTCAGTGGCTGGCCTAGTGTACAGCTTTAAAATTTACTCAGTTGAGTAGGATAAAAACCCTGCTCTGAAGGAGAAAAGCACTGAAGAGAAACTACATGTAATTGGATGATGATTGCACAGTATGGTTTGATAAGTAAGTGCTCAATGCTGAAATAATCTAGGGAAGAGTGATTAGCAATATTACTAAAAGGTAAGATGGATCTAGCTGCTGGTTGAAGGACTGGTAATTGCTTGTCACAAGAATAGGTTAGGAAGGGAAAAAAAGTCACCGTCGACATTTTGGGGTATGTGCTAAGACGATGGGTACTTTCTAGAATTTTGAGATAATGTAGAATGAGCAGAGGTAATACAGACGTAGAGTTAGGCAAGATGAATTGGAAAAGTAAGTGAAAACATGAAAAAGAGGAATAGTGTGGGAAGAAATCAGGAGAATATCATGGTAAAGTAATTTCATTGAAGCTAAGGGGGAAAGATTTTAGGGAACGCTAAGAGCTGAGTTACCTTGGGGAAGCCACACTTTTCTTCAGTTTTAGGTTTCTATGGCTATTAGAATTTGATAATGAGGCCAGAATTATCATGTGGTTTCAGCAGAGTAGGAGTAACATGTTTGTAGAGAGGTCTGGAGAGATTAAGGAAAAATAACGAATGAAGAGTTTGCCGTTTATTCAGGAGTTAGGTCAGTAAAAGGTAAGGTAAAAGAGGAACTATTAGAAGTGTCAATATGTGGATGAGATTATACGGAAGACATAATTAAACTTGGGAGATGAGGGCTTTTCATTGCTCTCAAAACTTAGCACTCGGATGCTGAACAAAAAATATTCTTACAAGTGTTGAATTGAGCTTTGCCATGGCCACCTAGTTAACCTTTAGGCCTTGTGATAGCCTTGACAGAAATCCCAAAGAATGTTCAATAGGAAAACATTTTTTTATGTGCTAAACTCAGATTTAAATGGATACTAAATATCAAGAGTACACTAAGAATATTTGGGATCATTTACAAATCAAAGTATAACAACTTTCTTAACTTGCTACATCAAAATGTCTAATTCAGAAGCTACTATTTCTCGAAACAAAAATGACTAAATTTAGTTGGTTTCTAGGTGCATAAGCAATGGCCTTGCTTAGATGACCTATCAGAAATAGGGTTGCCATTTCTAACAGAATTAAAAAAGCATTTAGGTTAACAAACAGCTGATCATAACATAACATAAAAAGACTTTAAAACTACAACACGAACTCAGAAGGCTACTCATTCAGATTTCAGCGTTGTAAACATCAACAACTCATATGTAGTCAACATTGATAAATCCAGCATGGGTCTAGTTATGTAAATGGAGGCGCTTTTACCATGCATGGATTTTTTTTCTTTTTTCACATGCATCTCTGGTTCAGAAGAGGTAAGGATTTTTTATTTTATTTTATTTTATTTTCTAATTTTATTTTGTCAATATACAATGAGGTTGATTATTGTGGCCCATTACCGAAACCCCCCTCCCTCCTCCCTCTCCCCCCTCCC